TGTCGGGTTAGTTTGGTCTCGCTTTGTCATTTTTAAATTGAAACTAAACCAACTCAATTATAATCAAAGTTTTCTCTCATATCAATCACATATCAATCAAGTAAAATCAAATCTTTAATCAAATTTTTTCTTTTAATTTTATAATTAATGTTATTTTTTATTTGATTTTATTCACACCTTTAAATAATTAAATATAATACAAAATTTATAATCAAACAGAATTCTACTTTTTCGATAGCTTGGTCAATAAAAGATTGTCATGACACGTATTTGTTGAGGTTCGTGAGAGGAAAAAGATATATATATATATATCTTGAGTAGATTAAATACTTATTTCTCTTTCAATTCATACAGTTCATTTTTTTTAAAAAAAATAGGAACAAAAATGAGGTGTTTTTTTAATTTCATAATTAGTAAAATAATTTATAATTACAAAAATTTAAATTATTATTATTTATAAAATTTTATATCTATTACAAATTATAAATTAAAATTTTATATCTATTACAAATTATAAATTAAAATATTTATCACAGACAAAGATTATCTATTAAAGAAAATGGGTTGGCAGCCTACAATTGTATAGTGTCTGCCTTGTAAAAATTAGGTGTCCGAATTTGGTGTAATAGAAAGTAGGAGTTTAATAGGCGTATCGCTGTCTTGTTGGACCACATTTAATGGCCATGAATATTTATGGTACACTGTCCATAAATTTTAATAGGCGTATTGATTTTGCATATTTTAAAAATAATTAAAAAACAAATTTAATTTATATGCATTATCTTTTAAATATAATAAATATAATATCTTAAAAACTATAATAGAAAAATAACTATAATAATAGAGCGATGCTAATTAATAAAATTAACCAGAATGTGACTAGATATACGTAAAAAGTGTATAATATTCTTATGTTAATTTTTACATTTATTTCCTTATTACTTTTCCCTTCAAAAAAAGTTAATTATTTTCTATGTTTCAAACTCCTCGAACCGCTAAAATACAAACTTCTTGGCTGACACTGAAATAAAAAATGTTTTGTGTATATAGTTCATTTTATTTTTAAAAATAAATGTTATTCGGTTCATTAAAAAATTACTTAAAAATTATTTTTCGCAATTTTATTTTATATATTATTATTTTTTTATTATTATACCATATAAATTATGTTCTACATATACATAATCTAAGATCGTTCTCTTTTTGGTTCTGCTAGTGGTTGTATCGGGGATTCTATATAAGAAAAAATAAGAAAGAAAA